GGGGGGCGAGCGGGGGGCGGAGCAGCGCTCCCCACCGCTGGGTTCAGCCTCAGGTCTGGCACCGCTGCGGGTGCGCGGCTGAGCTTTACCCTTCCTGCTTGTTCCCTGTCTATAGCAGGAACAATTTGGGGCCGGGGTGAGAAGTACCCTTTGAGAAGGATGCCAGAAGTTTAGGAAGCTTGTTGTTTAAGTCTGCGAGAACAGCACTTCTGTCAGAATTTCAACCACGATACGATTTATGTTCATCTTGGAGATTTAATTAGGCTAGGCACTCTCCCCTCGGAGTTCCCTGGGGCAGGAGCAGACACAAAGCCGCTGCGGGGCGTGGGGGTACGCCGTCGCCCGATGGCTCCACAGGGGCCGAGCAGTTTTGAGGCAGAAGTGAGGAGTGTGCGGGTCGGAGCCGTGGCAGCTCCGGGTGAGGGGAAGGGAAGGCTCGGGGGCCAGGGTTGCTGCCGTCGCCGCAGCCAGGGCAGCCTGAGAAGGGGGTGCTGGTGCGACTGGAGCCGCATCCTCTCGAGCCGTGCTAGGTCTGAGGCTGTGCCGTGCGGGCGGTGCTCTGCTCATCCCTCACCGTGCTGGGAGACACTCGGCTCTCGGGGCGATTCTTCGCTCGCTGCTGGTGACGAAGCAGTGCCAAGTCCCTGTCGCGCCGTTCGTCCAGGCTGGCTAAATGGGGAGTTCACCGCGCGTTACAGCCTCCTTCAGCTTCTCCGCCCCAAACGATGCAAAACTTTCACCGAGTTCTGGCTCAACACCTATTTCTACAGGGTGAATTATTAAACTAGCACTCAAGATGCAGACACGCGTTTTCAGTGGTAGCAGTGAACCCAAGGTCACTGTGTAATCCAAATGGCCGAGCTGCTGAGGAAGCGTAGGTGCCAGGTTCCTGGATTTTGCTTAAACCAGTTTTGAACGGGTTTTATTCCTTCACAGCTTAATAAGCTTCTTGTTCTCTGGCCACTTTACTGTCTAGGCAGTGTTTGGTTTAATAAATACCCATCACTCCCTAGCAGCTCTGTGAAAATGATTAAGTGTAGAAATAGATTAGTAAAAGTAAACGATGCAGGCTCCTGCGTAGCTGTAGCTTTAGTTAAAATATTAACACACAGAATTATGTCTGTTTACGTGCTTTTGAGGTGTCAGATTTAAAAGTTCAAGTAGGTTCTAATTCCTCTTTGGACTACGGGTTTTGGACATTCGCCTGCGGACAGTTTTGCATGGCCTTGGAAGGTCCTTGGAGGTAAAAATAAGAGGAACAGTAGATGCCATTATTTTATCTTCTGTTTAAAGATGCATTAGAAAATGGAAACTCTTTATAAAAGATGTACCTGTACACAACAGCAACACCCTAGTGTGCTAGAGTACGATTCTGGTGCGATTTGAAAAGCCTACGTTTTCCCATGAGTTTAATACAAAGGAAATGAGAGCAACAGCCCAGGAGGTGGCTGAGAGCCCGCTGCGGGCGAGCACCGTGCGGCTTGTGGCAACGTGCCGTGGCCGAGGCCCGCGGCTCCTGACCTTGCCTCCTGGTCCCGAGTCTCGGGCGCTGCATCTGCTACTGGGTGCCGCAGGCGGGAGCGGTTCCTCTGCACGAGCAAACGCCTGCGGAGCACTGGGGTAAAACCATGCCCTGCCATTTGGGTGTGCCTGTGACTGGAGAGCTAACGCCAGTCTGTCTCCTTGATTTAAATCCATGGGAGTTTCATTCAGTGCTTTTACACCTTTTTATTTAACAGCTCCTGTTCTAGTGATCCCTTTCTTGTTATTTCCAAACAGTTGCAGAGGTTGTTAAAGAGCTGGAAAAGAATGAGAAGATTCGAGTTCAGCTTGAATTTAATAAACCCGGTGAACATGTAAGCGAATTATCTTTGTTCTCAAAGAGGGATGGCTAGGAGAATGTGCGGGGTGGGCCCTGGGTGTGCTTGCCCATCACTTTGTTACGGGAATTCCCAGGTTGCATGTTGGAATTCGCATAGACCATCTTATCAACATGATTTTCTCATACCACTCATTTGTCAAATTGTTATTTGTATACTGCTGATGTTTCTGTGCCCAAACTATTTAAGTAGGAGCATTTTTTCGGATTGTAATAAGAATTCTTGAGAAATGTTCCCCTTGGTCATACTGGAGGATTTTGACCCTCCATGGCAGTGCGGGGAATATCTTGCTTCCTAGAATTCTCTCGGATTCAGCTAGCAAATTGCTTGCTTCCGTGTCAGCCATAATGCCTGTTGTTTTCCCATGACATATGATACTTCTGTGACTTTTGGAGCATGTTTGTTGAGCAGTATTAGGAAATATTTTATGGTCCACACATGCTGGGTGTTACATGGGGTGGCTTGGCTTAGTCCTGTTGGCTTTGTGAAAGCAAAACAAGGCAGCATGTGTATGTACTTCAAATATATATTACTGTCTGCAGATGAGATGATGAGCTGGTGGGGGAAAAACAGACAGCTGACCCCTTTTCAGTTTTAAGTCTCTAGTTTTAAAGTACGCAGCTTTATCACCTTTCTGTTTCTGTAAATAAGCATTTGTGTGATTTCTGTAGAGCCTGACCTTCACAAAGGACCAGACAGAGGAAGAAATAGATGAGATCCACACGGATTATCGTAAGTAACACGCAAGTTTCGCTTCATTTTGTTTTTAAAGTCACCTTTTCCTTTGTACTGAAATACACACACAAGTGATGCTTTTCATGTGTGGGTGTGCTTCCACCGCCCCCATTTAATAAATCAAAGCTGACACTGAGTCTCTGCTAAGTACTGACGTTTGAGAAAACTCCCTGCCAGGGCTGGGTAAGACTGGGATGGAAGCTGACCGTGTGGTTTTTGCATTTCTACAGTTGTCAGTGGCCCTTACTGCTAACAAGTACGTCTTAATTGAACACAAAATGCTTTTTCTGTATTTTATTTGTATATTGTGATTCTTGAATCATCCAGGGTTTCACAGTGCTCCTCTCATTCACTCCCTTCCTTCGTACCCCTCTCCACAAGCACTCACATGTTCCTGTCTCCTCCCTGCATCCTTTTCTACTTTCCCCTCCTGCCCAGCCCTGTGATTTTGAAGTGATCTTCTAAAAAGAGCGCTCATTTGGCTGGCCTCTTCCCTCCATCCTGTGCAGGCAACTGGGATTCAGTGCAAACTGGGTGATTTTTTTTTTTTCCCCCCCAGTTTTGTTGTTGCTTTAGTTTTACTTTAGTTTTTTTACCCAAGTCCCCTCTGTTTGTGGAAGAGACGGGTGCCCATGTTGGTTATTAAACCTGCTTCTGCCCTGACAGAGCAACAGCATTTGCTTTGGGAAGTGTAATTGGAATAAATATGTAAGGGAAAGAAGAGAAGAGACAAGAAAAAATACCACGGGGAGAGCTGTAGTTCAGTGACACCATTTTGTGGTGGGGTGGGGGGTGGTGGTGGTGTTTTTGTTTTGTTTTCAACAGAACCGATTCCCGCTTAACGTGACCCTGGGAAAGCACAGTATTTTGAACTGTCTTTCTCCTTGCTGTGTGCTTACACTTGAACAGTGTTTTCCCTCTCCATGGAACCATCCAGCTATCTTCAGGGTTAGTTGAGAAGCAGACGTTCTTGTGAGAGTTAAGGATTTCAGGACTTGCATCCTGTTGTAGTAATTTAGACCAGCAATGGCTGATGTAAACTGATTTTTACTGATTATTTCCTGACCCTTCTCTGTGTGTGTGTACACACAAAGCGTTACTCTGTGCTTCGGTCCCTAGTGGTATTTTATTATTTACAAATTCTTTCCTGTTGTTTCCCACCCCTTTCGCTTTACCTGTGTACCTCTTGCACACTCAAACATAGTAGTTGGCCGCGTAATGCTAAAACAATATCCCGTGAACGTTAAACCTCTGCTTCTAGACGCAGAGGAGCAAAGCAATAAAGGGACAACTTGTTCTGATTATACTTCAGGGTGTATTTAAATCTGCAATACGGTCGTATTTCCTGTCTTTCCTTGCGTTGGTTCAGGCATATAAATTATTCCATAATGCAGCTAGATTTAGCCTTGTTGATTTTAGTTGGGTTTCTGTGAAGGCTAAATAAGGGCCTAAATCTTTAGCAGATTTTTCTCTTGCTTTTTGTTGCTGTTTCTGAGAATATTTTTTTTAAGCGTACATGCACTGTTTGTGGTTTTGAATCTTCAGCATTCTCCTCTAATGCCAAGTAACCGGTTCATAATTACTCTCTTGCCATGCAGAAATATCTAGCCGTATGATGCAGGGGGGGAAAAAAAAGGTAAGGTAATTTAAAAAGTATTAATCCCAAATTGGGTATCTTCCCCCCCAAGGCTCTAGTAGCTCTGTAAAGAACAAATCCAAAGTTCAGTGACTTCAGGAGGGCCCCCAGAGCAGAGCTAGTGCCTCCTAACTGGCTGTCAGCACTCCGCTCCTTAGCGTTCCGCTAACCTGGGAGGTGAGGCTGAGCACAAGCTGGCCGAGGCAGGTCCCCGAATTCACCCTCCGCTGTTGGCACGTTCCCCCCGATCCTTCTCCCTGCAGGCGGGGAATGTTTGGGGGTGGCAGGGCTGGCATGGAGTAACCCAGGGGCGAAACGGAGGGGACGTGCCGCTCCGGCGCGGTGCCCGCACAGCTCCTTGTAGGGCGGTGCTGTCAGCAGAGAGCTGATCCTGTGCTACAAACCCACTTACCTCGTGCTCTTACTGTTTTGGATGAGCACAAATTCCTTGTAAAGCTGGATCCCCGCTTGCGTTCGCATTGCAACCTCGCGAACAGTTGCGTTGCGTGAGTGGGGCGTGGAGCCGGGCAGCGAGTTCTGCCCCCCCCGCTGCGCGCTGCGGGCCCTGGCCCCGGGGCACTGGCATTGCCGGTCCTGCCCTCGGGTGCCTTCATCTGTTGTACACATTGTAGAACAAGAAGACGTCAAGTGCTGTCTTCATTTTCCAAAGCCAGGTATTTTATTGAGTTTATAATGTTAAAAGGATACAGTTTCAAAATTATCAAGACCCCCAAGTGAATAAATGAGCTTCGGGCAGCTTAATGAGCAGTTAAAAGTCTAGGGGGGAAAAAAAAAGGAAAAAGAGAAGATAGAAAAATATTTTCATGGGAATATATGGTTTTAAAATTAATAAAAAAATGACCAAAGAGGTAAAGGTTAACTGGTGTCAGCAAATTATTTCTCATAAAAGCAATCGGGAAGAAATCATAAGCATGAAAAAAGAATTGTGCATTTAAATTAAAGCACAGTTGGAGATTAAAAGAACTTCTATCAAATGCCTTTTTTTCACTGTAACATAGATGGACTTTAAAAAGCTTTATTATACAATGAAGGGTTTTTTTTTTTTTCCTTTTAATTTACAGCATTTGCACCCCAGGTCCCTAATTCACAGCTGAATTAATGAATGAATTAACTGTGGCATAAGTTCTGAATAAAAAACCCAACCATATACTTTCTGCTCTCTATTTGCATGAGGCACACGAGTGCAGCTATGAAAACGCCTCCTTGAAAAGCAAGATAAACCATCTGTGATGAGGCCCTTTTTTACTTATCTTCTTTACAATTTCTTATGCTCTTGGCAAACTGCAAATTACACTGTCGGCAATTTTTTTTTTTCTTTTTTTTTATGTGAATTGTGTCTGAAATACCAGTTAATATTTTTGGATGATGAACCCGCGGCAGGTTTCAGTGCTAGCTGGGAATGCTGCTTGAGCAGCCGCCGCGTCTGCGCCTGGAAGGTGCGATGAGATGTGCTGTGCTCTGCGGCGCTTCCGCCCGCCCCGCGGGAGCTCAGCGACACCCTCAACCCCGTGCCAACCTCACTTGGCTTTTTCATGGCCAGGCCTCTATTTAAAGAGTTAAAAAAATCAACAGGGAAAGAAATAAATTTGTTCAAAATAAGTTTATTCTATCGCTCTTTCTTTTTATAAAATCTTTTAATTGGCAATGTTACTCAGAGGCTGGCGGATGTTTGCTCTGTGTTTTAAATACCAGTAATTATACCTGCGGTGGTTTTACCATGGAAGTGCCTGTCGCTGTACGCAGTGTGCCTGGGAAGTCTTCCCAGCACCCCGGGGACTTACAGTGTGTCTGAACAGCGCCTGCTTAGCCGGCACGTTTCTGTTTTGCTCAAACAGCTTTGTAGTTACACCAGAAACCAAATCAACAACAAATAGCGATATTGGAAAAACTGAAGCGCCGAAGGGATTAGGTAATGAACGCGCGGCGTCTCGAACACACGCCTCTGGGAGAAGAACTTTCCTTTCATTAAAGGCGCTGTTTTCCTTATGTGGCGTTTTCAGCTGTGCGGGGAGAGGGAGTCGCTTTTAAAGCCGGTTCCTTCTGTGGGGCAGAAACTGATACGATTTTATCTTGGCATTTCCCCCCTTGTTGCCGCCGCAGGACTAGGTCGGGGTTGGGCACCGTGACCATTTAAGCGTGCCGTACCCTGTCTGCTCCTCGGGGCGCTGGACCACCCCATCTCCAGCCACGAAGCCGGTGCGTTCTGTAGGGGAAACAACGCCTTCCCCTTCTGTAGGGGAAACAACGCCTTCCCCTCGTGCCCAGCGAGGGTCAGGGGATCCGCATCCCCTGTCTGAGGAGACCGGCTATTTTCCCAGCCTCTGAGTAAAGAATTTGCAGTATCTAGATTAAAGAACAACATTGCTTTGACTGAATACCGGAGCAATTAACTGTGATTTAGAGGATCTGATTCAAAATGGCGTGATAAGCATGACACAGGCTTCTGACATTGCTTGACTGCAGGAGTGGGGGGAAAACCCAAAGCAGCTTTAAAGCAATTTGCGGAGTAGCTGTGAGATTTTGGTCCTTCCCTCTAGCAGACTGCGCCTTGCGGGACTGCCTAGAACCCGGCCAGATGACTGCGAGCGTCGCCCAGGCAGTCCTTGAACTCTGGCAGGCGTGGTGCTGTGACTGCAATATTGACTGCAATATTGCATGTTGTCACAATTAGGGGGGAAAAAAAAAAAAGAAGATAAGAAACAAACACAGTTCTTCTGTGCAAAAATTAAGCTTTCATCTGTGCAAGTGTTCCTGTGTACTGGGTAACTCTGAAAGCATGGACACAGAGCTGGGTCGTTCATAGAATATGGAACATATTACAGCCACGAGTTGGTTTTCATTTGCTGTAACAAAAATGTTTTTAATTCAGTATTTTGTGTTTCTTTTTGTTCCCATCCTTTCCCCTTTTTGTGGCATACCATAAGGGTCCCGTGGCAATGATCAGTAATGTGCTGTTGCATTTCAGGAAACAAACACAGAAGTGAATTTCAATTCTTGGTGGATCAAGTGAATAATCGGTGGAAGAAAAGTGGGAAGAGGAAAACAGAAAGTGCTCAAAACAAAGAAGTTGCCGACAAAGAATTGCCAGCGGCCACGGGTTAGTGACGTTGTTTAATACAGCTCCCCTCCGTGATCCACACTAATAAGTGGGGGGTTTCCCAAAGGAATGCTCTTGCCTCCCAGTGTTCTTCTACAGCCCTTAAGGGGGGGGAGCATAAAAATCAGGCAGACCCTAAAAAAGATTGCCTGCCATTGATTTTAGTGTGATACATAAGCACAAGCTGTAATAAATATGTGATTTGTTTGATTTTAGTGGGATTGTGTATAGCTGTGCTTTATCTAGGTGTATATTAGCTGGTTGAAATGGGATCTTAGGTTCCAGCCCAAATCAACTGAAGCTGCTGCGAGTGGGCGTGTGACAATCTGTGTCTGAAATGAAGGTGATCAGGTATTGCTTGCTGGGTTTCAGCTTTTCTGGATCGTTAGTATGACAAGGAGTTGGTGACCGGGAACTGCAGAGATGTCTGTGTCGACTGGAACAAGTATTTATTTGTCCTGAGGTTGAAGCAATAAAATACTCTGGCTGCTTCTAGGCTGTTTATGCAGTAGGCTGCCTTGCCTTTAACTTGCTTCGTGTTGTGTTTATATGCTTCAGCGCAGTGAGAAGTGGGAATGTACAGCTGCAGTAACTCAGCTCCTTATGAGTGGAGAAGAACACCCACCCTCGCTGCCCGCGCCAGCAAAGGATGCCCGTGTGTGCTTTTAACTTGCTCCCGACGGGCTCGTGCAGTCCTGTCTGGTTGATGTTACTGGTTGCTTTGGCAGTGTACGTACACCTTTGAATGTGAGATTTAGAAGAGCATTCCTCCACCTAAGATAACTTGTGGAGTTATGATCTATTGAAGATAGTGAATTTTGGAGAGAATTCCATTGACTGGACTTGGATGTGCTGTTGTCCGTATCCTTGGGGAAGGTACGGCAGTTCAGTTTGCATCAGCTCTCACAAATCCCTGCTCTCTTGAGTTGAGCCGAACTAATCTTCGGCGATCTTCTGCGCCGCCTCCTCTAGCAGACTCTCAGGAATAAAAATAAATGAAAATACCAACATGATAGTATGAATTTTATCCTTATCGTTTCATGCAGACCTTGATGCAATGCATAATCCTTTCCACGTGAAGGGTAAAATATTAAGAAACATCAAGGATAAACTTTATCTTGTTTGACATAATTGACAGCGATGTTCCTCTTCCGTTGCAGAGACAGAAGCAGTGTGTTATTAGCTAATGGGATCACAGGCTTTGAAATATTAATTTCTAGCTGTGCTCTGTGGGAAGATCAGCTACTGGGAATTACTGGGTTTCTGTCTTCTGTGTGGGCTTTTTCTCTGTGCACTGGGCTGCAGACTTTGAGAAGCCGAAGGAAAGATGTATAGTTTTGCCAAAAGGGTGCTCGGGTAGAAAATAACTTCTCTGGAGTGGGTCAGCCTGTATGGTGTTGCCGTAAGTACACGACACCACCTCGTCTGGTCCTGGCAAACCTGCAAAATACTCAGGGCGTTCTTTGTGCACTGTGCGTTCAGTGTTCTCTGAAATTCCAGTTTCCAATTTTATCATAGAATCATATCATAGAATGTTTAGGGCTGGAAGGGACCCCTAGAGGTCAGCTAGTCCAACCCAGACATCTGTTTGTAAACCATTTAAAAAACAAAACAAAGAGAAGGAGCAAATGCCTAAAGCCTGTTTCCTCACTGTTCCTTATTAAAGGCAATTACCTTTTGATTAAACTGGAAATGATAATATGTGGTCTGATGGCTTGCTGTTTGAGGGCACAGTTGCAGAGAAGAGCAAAGGCTTTGTGTGCGTCCCTTACCCACTTTATTCCCATTCTCATGGGAGTACTGGAATTGTACACAATTAAAACATACTTTTTTTTTTTTAAACCCTTCGTGTTTCCCATTGCGCTCTACTGTAGCATTGCTGGACGTAACGTAAACCCTTCTGGAAATCTGGCTCTGGTTTTGCTGATGTTTTAATCAAGCCTTCCTGATTTACATCGCCTTGTTTTGCATTCGATTTCCAGTCTTTGCATTTTATAACTTCTAAACGGAGGGTTTAGGTTGCCTAAGGGGAAGCACTGTGAGAATTTGATAAATATTTGCAGTACAGCTCTTTGGGCTGGGTTATTGCACAGGGCCTTTGCTATTTCCAACCTGTCCGTTGTGGAGCTCTGTTTCATTAGCTGAGCGGACTCGCTGTCGTCTGCCAGTTGTTTTCAACAGACAAAAATACGCTCCTGGTAATTAAATGTACGTTTGAGCGGAAGGGAAAGGGCAAGCTGGAGCCAAATTCAGATTGTGTAGCTCTTCCACGCTCTAATTACAGTTTTGCTCGGCCATTTCTGTCACAATCATTCCTGGGGAGGGAGAAAAGTCAAAGTGGTTGGGGCAGGAATAGAGCTTGGCTCTGCGGGTGGACGGAGCTCTCCTGTGGACGGCCACGGTAAGGGTTGTTCATGAGACGGGTCTCAGTATGGTTTTAATGTCCCGTGCAGCTTTCAGTTAAATATTCGTGGCTATGGCATGGGAGTAGTTTATCTTTACATGCCATATTTTCTAGTCTATCTTTGCTTTCTCTTTGGAGAGGCAGAAGGTATCCTTCCAGATAACTGTTCGTATTTTGATAGATAAAAACACTTGACAAAAATAATGGAATGATCAGGCATAAATTGTAAAATGTGTTCTCTAGAAATGATTTTTCCTATTAAAAAATTGAAGGTAAATTATCTAGATTGAAATTGGCTTTCTTGGATGCATAAGGAAATAAACTGTAATGCTTCTGTTATGGAAAGCAAACCTATTAACACGCTCTGTAAAACTTTAAAGCTGTCAAGCTGGCTTAGGTGGTGGCTGAAGTGAGTTGGTAGCACGAAGCAGAGAACAGCGCTGTCCCATGGAGTGTTTGCAAACTCCTGAAATAAAGCTTCCTCTTGGGAAACGTGACCAATACCCTCACCCTTTGCTGCTGTCCTTGTCTGTGTGTGAAACTCATACCGATGAAATGTTTCTCTTTCAGCCTCTGGCTCTCAGAGGCCGGGGGTTTTTCACTATGCAGGGAAAGAAACTAAACCTTTGAAACTGAGAGTTTTGGGAAGCAAGTAAGTGGGAATGAGGCGTTGGTATTTAAATATTTATAACTGCATTTTTTTCTTAAGATCTGTCTCCAGGCTGCAAAAATGTAAACAGCAGCGTTTTGCTTTGTCATTCTTGCTAATCTCTGCCTCTCTTCTTGGTAGAAGATGGTGAAGAGCATCACCCAGCTATCGTCCTTGGGAAAGCCCAGGTAATCAAAACAGAAACTCCTGATGGCAAAAGTGAATTTCCTTCCTCGGAGGAGGGCCAGAGATCAGCCTCTCCTGCACTTTCACTGTCATCTGGATCAACAAGCAGGTCAGTGAAGAAGAGTCTCTTCTCCCTGGTTTGTACCAGATTAGACCAAACATGGGAGAGCTTTGCCGGTAACCTTAAGCAGTATGGGTGTTCTACTTCATAGCGGGGGCTCCTGGGCTCTGGTTACCGGTTCATTCTTCATGTTTCTGGCTGTTCAGTTGCTTGAGGGACGGAGCTGAAATGCATTCGAAATTCACCTAGTAATTTTGTAATGACTTGATAGAGGGGTGGTAGCGTAAATGTACCTTTTGATTCAGAAAAAGAGTGGATTGTCTGTGGAACCAGAGAATGTTTGGTGTTTCTCTTCCACTGCATCATCTTCCCTTCCCTTTATTTAGAGAGGTCCAAAAATTTATATAGCCTAAGCCTTGTAATAGTTCTTTGAGTATTGCTGTAAGAAATGGAGTTTAAATGACCCTTTGCTTGCAGTCAGTAGAATGCCACTGAACCCTGAAGTCCCGACAGCCATTCACTTTTCTTTCTTCATGCATTTGGTTTTGCTTCCTGCAACTGCCGTATTTGGTTTCTGAAAGTGAAGGATCAAGGAAGGCTTTATAAACAGTGTAAGACTTTAGGCTTTTGGTAGTGCAGTGATCATTTTATTGGAGACTCAGCTGTTATTGCTGGTGAGATCCAGCTGGTTTTTGAAGGTAGCATTTGTCGCTCTTCAAGACACTTTGTAGATCATGATTTGCTATCTACTACTGCCTGAGTTGTGAAAGGTGGTGACAAGGAATACTTAAATAAGCATCCTTTCACAACACTGGTTGCTGTGGCCCCAGTTTCTGGAGGAAAGGGGAAGGAGTCATTGAAAACAAATACCGAGTCACTGGGTTTTGACATGTGTCTAAAGTAAGAAAGCTAATCTTAATAATAATCTCGCTGTCTTGTGGACAACAGAAATGAGAGGAGGCGGCACCTTTTCAGGTCTGCATTATTAGGAAAAAAAGGGTTTCCTATGTTTAGAGGTGGGAGATAATCGGAGGAAGTAGCTGAAGGTCAGCAGCTGGGCTAGGAGTAACATTTATTTCCCACCCGTTACACCCGGCATATGTGCCTCTTCCTCCTTGTTCTGAAAATATGAACAATAAAACAGTGCTTGGTTTCATCATCATTTATTAAAAGAACAATTCAGTTGTTGAAAAGTTTTTAACAGAAATTTTTCTAAATTCATTTTGGTGGGCATTAAAGATGTTGCCTTTCACAGAGGTAACTATTAAATGGTGAATGAAAGGAAGATGTAGGAAAGAGGATGTCAACTCGGGGGATTAGAGAGCATTGAATGTTAAATGTCTTTGGTTTAGGTCAGGTTTTGCTGCCTGTTTCAATTTACTTGAACTAAATGGGAGTATACAGTAAATAATTGTCTGTAAGCAGCAACTTGCTGGCTGGGCAGATCTCTTGTGTGGAGCCAGAAAGGGTCTTTTTTTCTGTTCCAAAATATAATTATGTTTTAGTTCAGCTTCAGACTTGCCTTACATACCGATAAAGATGTTCCCCTCCAGGTGGCCCTTCCCCTCTTCAGTGTATGTGTCCTTCTGCCTGAACTGTTACTGTAAAACTGATAAACATAGGATATCATTGCGTTTGCTGTTTAATGCGTAACAAACCTATTAAGATTATGGATGCTTTACCTAAGTTTTTCAGGATGTCATACAGATGATGATAGCTATTCCTTCCCTGTGATGCAGGTAACTTATCTCAGTGATTTCTTTGTTTTTAAAATGGGGTCCGGTGCCCTGGACTCGTGAAGAGACTCGCACATTGTGATACCCACTATTTCAGTATCTTATCTTCAGGTCTGTGGTCTTCGAGCAGAACCCACAGATCTCGGTCATGCACACTGCATGACAGAAGCTGGGCGACCCTCTGGAGATCGTCCTGTCCAACCTTCACGGAGCAGGGTCAGCAGGAGCAGGCTGCTCCGGACCTCATCCAGTCGGGCTTTAATACCTCCAGGGATGGAGACTCCGTACCCTCCCTGGGCAACCTGCTGCAGCGTTTCACGCAGTACAAAGGCTTTTTCTTCTCTTTCGAGGGAATTTCCTGTGTTTCCGTTTGTGCCTGTTGTCTCTTGTTCTGTCATGGGATGCCACTGAGAATAGACTGTTGTCTTTGCTCCCTCCCAACGGGTATTGCTGAGCACTGATAAGATCCCCTTGAGCCTTCTCTTCGGAAGGCTAAACCATCTCAGCTCTCTCTGCCTCTCCTCTTACATCTTAAAAGAATTAGGAGTTAAGAGGAACTAAGGGTTTCAGAATGAGCTTTGTGTGTGGCAGCCTGCTGAGGGGTGAGCTGTAAGGACGGGCCAGCGGACGCCGCAGGCGAGGGCATCTCCGCAGCCTGCCCCTGGCAGCGTGTGGGTGCCCGCCTTAGCGGGGCTGCCCCGTGATTCACAGCCAGACCTGACCTTAAGCACCAAAGCCCTTTTAGAACGGGACCAAGAGCTCAGCCCTAAACAGGAGAGGAATCCCCTAAAAGGGCCTTGGAGGCTTGCACTGTTCTGGGTTGTGGCAGCCTCTTCCTGATGCTGCCCCACGCAGGATCGGTACTGAGAGATGAAACGGGCCAGGGAAAGCGACCCCTCAGCGCTCACCCGGCGGGGAAGAAACTGGCCCTATGGTTTTCTTCCAGAGACTGGTTTTATGTGCCCGAAGCCTCAGCCTTCTGTGGCTTGGGCTGTGGTGACTCTGCTGCCGCCAGGCAGTTCTGGGGAAGCGTGTGGCAGCAGGAACCCGAGGTTCGGTGTGCGCAGTGGTGGCGGGCAGGATCGTGGGCAGGATCGTGGGCAGGATTGCGGGCAGGATCATGGGCAGGATGGCAGGCAGCAGCTCTCCCCAGGGCTAATGCAAGGCCGGCTCTTGCAGATCTGTACCCGATGCCGCGTTTGACAGGCGCGCGGATGATGGATGGATGGAGCTGCTTCATCCTCGCTGCGCCCGCTGTTGCGGTTGCCCTAGAGCTCTGATGGTTATTTTAGTTCTACAAAATAAATGCCTTCGGCTTGGCTCTTCATCCAGAATTTAAACAAGGTGTTCCTGTTCTTCCCCATTTTACTTAATTTATTTTTTTTGATTGCAAATTAACCTTTTGGCATGAAGGGCCTTGGAAAATTTGGAATTTTAGTCCTACAGAGTGAGTTCTTGGGAGGTAGAAAGGGCTTGTACTAGCTCATCCAAAGTATCATTAAATCTCTGTTTCGCTGCCAGTTTGGTGTGTGAATGATGTTATGAATGGTTCTCCCCGTGGCCTTTAACATCAAAGTTAAACTTTTATTCTTTACCTCTTTCTGTCTGCAGGCTTGTGTATATCAACTTAAAGTCTGGATGAAAGTGTGTCTAAGAGACTGTAAGAAAGTTTGCCAGAGGCTATTAGCGTGTGGCAGTTACTAATGATCTGAACGTGCCTCGGTGAACGGAGCCGGCAGATTGCGTGCGTTTGTTTGCTTATGTCTGGCTCCAGGCAGAGTTGTTCATTCCTTCGTTTTATGCATTTGCTCTCTCCAGATCCAATAGCTCCATAGACTTCTTGAATCCAACGTGGAACCTCTCAGCTGCACAGACCAGTAGGTACACCTCACAGATAGTTGGATCTTCTTTTAAGAAAACCCCAACCATGCTTAATAGCTCCCTGTGGTTTACTCCTAAACTCAGCTCCTGTGGAACAGGAACAGAATTACTGGAGTCTGTGCAGAATTGTTTTTTCAGAATCTCTCTGGGATTTTCTCTTCACTTTCCTACTTCATGCATATCCCCTGTTTTGTGTATGTGGTGCGTTTTTTATTTATTTTTCTTTAAATATAGGGCAGTTTGCTTAACCTTAAAAACTAGCTACTGCACTGGTCAAGAAGTTCAACAAAGTGGCAGGTTGTTTTGGTTGTGTGGGGCGGTTTTTTTAATTTTTTTTTTTTTTTTTTTTTTGTTGTTGTTGTCGTCGTCATCGTTCCTCCCCCCCGTTATATTGCATGTTAAACTCAACTGCTTGGCCGCTGGGCTCTGGAGCATGCTGTAGGGTGTTACTGTAGGTTCTCATCCTTTACATCCAACCCCCTGTTTTTACACTCTGCTCAAAAAGAGGCGAAGCCAGCAACAATAATGGGGTGAAAGCTTAGCTAAGGTGACACACGATGCCTCGTGATGCATGGGAGGCCTCTCTTGGTTGACCATAGCGTTCCTCATGCCAAACCGTACCTTTTGGAAGAACACTCTGGTTCCTTTTTCTGTGTTTGCTGGGAAACAGAGGTTACAGGGGTCACCCCTCTCAAATACCGATAAGGGGGAACACATATGAAAAAATCATTAAATGTGCTTTTCCTCTTTCTGTTCCTGAAGGCTGCTCTGAAAGCACAGCAGGCCTGATGTCCCCGTGCACACCCAGCTCTTGCTTGGGCCCCTGGGACGTGGCTGGCTCTGCCATGCCTGCAGACTCGCTTTGCACTGCGGGTTTCTTGCCTCTCTCCCTCGGTTTGCCAGGGATGGGGTAGATACAAAAGTGCCGGATGTATGCTGAACTGAGGCTCATGCTCCCAGTACACCACTCACATGTTCCTGGTAATTAAAATGGACCTGAATTACGGCAAGATTTTCAGAGACTGTAAGAAGTAGGTACAGTCACCTAAACTGCATGAAAGGAAGCGATGTATTTTGTCACTCTCTGGTTACCATGGGGTTAATGTTTTGTTAAGTGCAGTGAAATAAATATAGCACAAATTTAAAAAATGATTTAGATTTTGAGGGTTTAAGTGGCATTGTGCTATTGTACAAAGTAATGATTTTCTAAGGCTTGCATTTTATTTCTGAGAATAAGAGGATATCCTTTGACAAGGGCAAAGGTTTTTCACATTGAAATGTCAAAACTTGAAATATGTTTGGGAGTCCAAATGTGCATGCTGTGTTTCCATGAAGAGAGCACTTCTAGATGGAGGGCTGATATTGTGATGGATTACAAGAAAATCAGGATTCTGAGCAGCATAGAGAATATAACAAAACAATCTTGAAGTC